GCAGATCAGTGACTTATTTGTGTCAGATTTCACATTAACTCTCTATAATTAGACTCAGACCCAACAGTTTATTTGACCGTTGTCAGGTCTCTGTGGTGTCTGTGCTTGGAGTTCGTGGCACAGAGCAGATGACCCAGAGTGCAATGGGAACGACCTCCAGCATTAATAAAGGGTAATGATGATCGTCCTCCAAGCAGACCCCGTGTCACTTGAATTCTGTCTCGCGGTTTGTAAAAACAACACACACAAAACCACATCCACACATGTTCACACACTGACATTAGAGATTCTATAAATGTGACATTGCTCCAACTGATTACTTGAGTTCCCAGTGGTAATGCCGGAGACAACTTCAATTCATTCATTCATTCCCTTAGTCCCTGAAGCAACTATGAAATGCCTCTGAAGCACGCCACACATTTGACAATGGCAGGCAGTGCATTCAGGCAAATTGAATATTTGTATGTTTTTATAGCCAATGTGAACATGTATGTGTTTGCTCGTGTAAATCTCTCATCCTATTCACCACTGAAGCTGCATGATGAAGGACCAATTTCTGTGGGCTTCAAGACAAACACAAGACAGACACCTAGAAAAGAGACAGACATATCAATATGACTGTTGTAAACAAGAGCACCTGTATTGTGTGTGTGTGTGTGTGTGTGTGTGTGTGTGTGTGTGTGTGTGTGTGTGTGTGTGTGTGTGTGTGTGTGTGTGTTTCTCTCTCACTCTATCTCTCTATCAGTGGTGAATCAGTGGAGTGTTAGGACATCGTTTAAGCTCTCACACAGCATCAATACTGGCTCTATTGATTTTTTTAAACAGTTAATGGAAGCCTTTAGGGCAGGAAAGCTAATTAAAATCATATGCAGGTCAAGCTCATTTAAAGACTCCCCATTAGTTTATGTTGAGCTTAACCGCGCTTGACTGGAAAATCCATCCATCGGGCATCGTAATTGACTGGTGTTTCTAATGGCTTTCCAATGCTCCTGCATCTCAGAGAAACAGAGTCGGTTCCTCTGGCAGATTTCATGCTGCAGCTCTAATAACCCACATACAGAATCATTAAAGATGGCTGCCGCGTGTCCTGTGTCCTCAGAGTATCTTGTCAGTGCCTGGTGATGTGTCTCGTACTCCTGTCTTTGGAGATAAACAATGCACACCCACTCTGCACACTGAGGCGGACATAATTTGTCATGAGTCTTCAGTGATTTTACGGATAAATAAGTCCATGCTTGGGCTGGAGAAGAGTTTCTCAAGGCTAAAGCTTTAGTAGAGGAGTGATGCTAACAATAAGATAACTATTACACATATCAACTCATGTAGATGAATTTTCACTTAGTTCAGGTTTAGGGTTTCTAATTCTGAACCTAAACCTATAGCAGTAATACAAACTGAACACATCATTACATTACATCTGGACAAAACTGATATTGATCATAACGAAGCTATTTCAATGTGACCACCTTTTTATGAATTGCACTAAATAACTTGCATCTAGATAACAAAGGATTACATTCACAATGTGAGCTATAAAACCAGTCAGAGGTTAAATTAATCTAATGAGAAATAATTATCTGATAGCATGATCAGGTGCAAAAATCCAATCAAAAGTTTGCGTCCAACAGCGGCTCTCTTTTCAACACCTCGCAGTTAGGGCTCTAGTTGGAAGAATACATTGTATATATTTTTTCTAGAGATAAAGATATATACATATATATATATATATATATATAAACAAGAAAGATAGCTCAATTAGAAAGAATGTGGCTTTTGTTTGATCGCTCTAGGAGAGTATTTTTGAGTCTGTCTTGACGTGTTATGTGTTCCCTTGTTTGTTTGCACAACTCGTGCGAGTGTGCATTCTGCAGTGCCTTGCGGTGGGAGGTTGATTTGAATCTGTGAGTCAGAGGGAGATTGTATTCAGGCTTTGTTTATTGTTCTCTATCAGGGGCCAATATGCTAACAGCAGATGCCAACCGTCTTGCTGTGTCTTAGTTTGATGCCTCCACTGTGTGACTCTAGCCACAAACCACGCCGCTCTACCGCCACTGTTTTACCAAGCTGGCACAAGCAGAGCAAGAAACCTTGCAACATCGTAGCTTCAGCAGAGTGGTTCATTAGCCAGAGTTAGATCAGATAAAAATCCCCCTGAGATGAATTTTCTCTCACACTGAGGACAGAAGCAGCAGAGGATACGAGCACACTCTGAGTAAAATGGCCATATGAGAGGCTATATTTAATAATATCACCTAATAAGATGTCAGTAGCTTTGGCTTATTGTGTTGCTCGAAAAGCAAGGCTGTATTTTCTACTCCAGCTGCTCCATATTCTCTTTTTAAGATCAAAATGTGCGCACACGCACACACACACACACACATATACATACACACTCATATAAACCCCAACATACACATGTATGCTTACACGCACACCATGCCCTTTGAGCTTGCTGATTATGCAAATATTATTAGCCATTTTCACTCACGCATGATATTACGTTGTACTATTTTCGCTAACATTTCAGACAACCTACCAAATTTTAAATGGCTATTAAGGTATCAGTTATTAAGGAGAAGCCAAGCATTAAAATGCATTTAACGTAAAAGCGTCTGTTGCTGTAAACTAGATGCTGCACAGTGCACTTCACCCTTCTAGTCCTATTTCATCGGTCACCAAGTTTTGATCCAGTTAAACTTACTGACCTGCGTTACTGGCTGCTTGATTAACTGCGCCTAAAAGTCATTTGTAATCACAGTCACTATTAGTTCATCAAGTAAATAACGGCCAACATTTTTGTGAAGTAATATCAGAGTTCTTGTCACTTTCACAAACACATATCCACATTTTGGAGGATAATACCATGCAATACAATACTTTCAAAAAGCCACTTGAGAGGATTTGAATTTGATTTCTATCCTTTTAAAACCACAGCACCATCTGCATTTTATTTAATTTTTTTTTTTTTTTTTGCATACTTACCTCTTTGTAGCTTAACCATCATCCACTGCTCTTTTTCTGTTAAACCCTGTTTAAACGTAGATGAAGGACAGTATCCTTCTGTCACAAAGCTTTTCCTAAACAGTGAAGACTCAACCTGCTCAATACAACACTGTATCCTTCATGTTTGAGAACACCAACAATACTGAGCACTTAATATACTGAGACTTCATTTATTCCCCATATTGAGTGAGGATGGAAATTTGGAGATGTTCTGAAAAGGAAGGAGCAGAGGACACATTAGAATTTAAAAACATGTAAACAGATAAAGCCAACAACAGATGGAGAGTGAATGGTCAAATGGTGACAGGTGCTGAGGAAAAGAGAGAACAAGTAGGAGTGGGATGGCAGGAACAGAGATGTTCACTTTCACCTCCTTATATTAGATTAGTAGCTGTAGGTCTCTCAGCACCTGGCTAATAAGCTCAAACCCCGGACAGCCCACATCTCTCATCTCATCTAACACCTGACCCCTAACCTTAACCTCCCTAACACCCTAACCCACAAACCTTAAGCCCCCAAACTGATCCCTTGTTCTTTTCCCTGTGCACAAAGCTCCCAGGCCCAAACACCCGACCTCAGGTGAGAACTGCAAACAGCTTCCCCAGACACACTGCTGAGGAATAAATGAAAAACAAACTAGTCAGTAGTCAGTGGCATTGTTTCACTTTGAATACACATGAGAAAGGCAGGCCTACATCTAATAGCCACATAATGAGTCAGCTCTGTAACATTAGACAATATAATATATAATAATGACTCTCATGGCAGTTACATCTGCTGACCTCTCTTGGGAACTCAGTGCAATTATTTACACAGCAGAAATTCACAGAGCAAAGCTAATGCAACTCAGTCCAAGAAAAGATAGCTCCCTCAACTTATTTTCAATTTAAACCAGATGATCTTATAGGGGAGTCATGTGAATGCTTTTCACAGTGATTTTGAAATAGAATAATTGAGAGTGAGCATGGATGTGTGATAATTATTGCTGACAAGGTGGGAAGGTGTTGATGTGAGTATTTCATTCACGTTTGTGTGTGTGTGTCTGTGTGTGTGTGTGTGTGTGTGTGTGTGTGTGTGTGTGTGTGTGTGTGTGTGTGTGTGTGTGTGTGTGTGTGTGTGTGTATGCACATGCACACTCGTTGATAGTCACTGGTTCTCCTCATTCTGTATTCAGTGCACATTTTTATCAAACTGAGTGCTCGCTGGGGTCAGCTGGTTCTGTCTAGATCAACAACACTAAGAGTCCACTGCCAGGCTCTGTGAGGCTGTGCTCAGGCTTAATGGCAGCTAAATATTAACATCAGCATGCATTTAACTATGAAGGTTACCATGCTGCGGGTTGGATATGGTCATCTGCTAACACTTGTCAATTGGCACTAACTATCCCTGACACTGATGGAAATGTCATTTACAGGTGTTTGGTGATGAAAGTATTGGCCATTAAAGGAGCAATACGCTGCATTTACTCACATCAAGGTGATGCATTACAATTTAATTCCATGTGATCTATTATTCATGGATGTTGCCAACAGTTGAGAACCAGGGTTTAAATAGGTTTACAGACCTCAGGTAAAACCATCTCATTTACTTCTTAACCTTCAATCACATATACAGTAAATATGCTGTTTTGCTCTTCAGTGATTCTTTAAGTAATAACAACATTTGTATCATTTTAAGACATGAAGTGGAAAGTTATATGTGGATATCTTGCTTATAACTTCATGCACGTTTTTTTGTTGATTCTTCAATTAAACTCTGTTGAAAAGCAGTTAGCAGTACACATTAATTGGAGGGGAATGGTGCATTCATGTGAAAAAGTTTGCTTGTTAATTAAATTCAGTATTACAGCTGATTCTTCTCCATGTGGTGTTAATATCTAACCTCATGAATTTTATTGAATATGCTCAATACTCACTAAAGATGGCTGGAGTAACTGATTCACGTGGCTAGAGTCAAGACACTGAAGCTGACATCTGTATGTTGTGTTTTCACACCAGGGCCGTCTGTGGTTGGGACGCTGAAGAAGGACTGGGCCTCTCCGAACAGCATCGCTCTCTCCTGGCAGCAACCCGAACAGACAGCGCTGCCCATCCTAGACTACGAGATCAAATATTATGAGAAGGTACAGTGACTCCTGCTTATGCTCAGGTCCAGTCTTAAACTGCAGGGCTTTACCAAGGTGTAGACGCATATGTTGGCTGACCAAACTATAATATTTGTTCAGATCAAGGAGGATTTGTAGCAATGAATTCAGCCATGGTTTTGATATTTCAAGAGGAAAACTCGTGCAGGTGTTTAAAATCCTTAGAGGTTTTTCATTCATCATCTCCTCAGACAGATGAATTAATGAATTAACAGATATTTCCAGGTCTTTGTTGTTAAACAGGAAAATTTGGCCGCAGACCAAAACATTTTCATGGCACAGTGATGTAGATTAAACAAGCATAAAATAAAATACTGTTGACCTGGGATTTTCTCCTTCTATCCTGTTACTCATTATGTTGTTTGAATCAAGGGAAGTAGTGAGTCAAAAAGTAAGTTAATGCTTTTGACCTCAGTGTCAGTGGAGATTGTTTGTGCAGCCAAATAAGGACTGTGTCATAAAGGTCTCCAATTTATAATTTTACAGTATAGTTATTGTTCGACAGGTACATTTGTAGATATACTGTACAGTTTCAATACTGATTATCATTTTAAAATTGTTGTTGTTGAGTATAAAAACTGTGTGAGCGGTTCCAAAGCACAAATCCAGTCTGCAGGTACTATCCTCTCTCTGCAGACAATGGTATCTATGCAGTAGGACTACAGTAGTTTGAGCTCTCACTCACTTGTAGACAGTCCTAATTATTGGTTCTGCAATCTGCAGCTGCCATAGTGAAAGAGACGTTAATTACACACATATTGTGAGTCCAAATTGGAGGAAAGATGCAGCGCACCTTCCACGCAGGTAAACGTGGCCGTCAATGACGAGATAATTTTTGGTCAACACATGTTCTGAATTGCTGAGATTATTTTGATCGTCTTCCACTCTCCCCCACAGGAACATGAGCAGCTGAGCTACTCGTCTACTCGCACCAAGGCTCCCAGTGTGATCATCTCAGGTTTAAAACCAGCGACTTGGTACGTCTTCAGTGTTCGTACCCGCACGCCAGCTGGATACAGTTCCTACTCGCCTAAATATGAATACAAAACTACAGGAGACTGTAAGTACCTGAGACCATCTACAGAGCTTGTTTGTGGCGTGGATACATCTGTCTACTGTATGAGTGAATGTGTGTATTTGTACATGTTTTGTGAGCAAATCAACAAGATAAGGAAAATCTTCAAGTATTTTTCTGCTCCTCACCCCTGCAAACATCTAGAATGAGATCAGGACTTTGGTTTGGAGTTAAGATCATTAGGTGTACATTAGGGTAAAGGGCAAAAGAGTAGTTTTGTCTGTGCGATGGTGACTTTTGAAGGTGAAGTATGCAGAAAGCATGTGATGGCAGCAAAGAAAAAAATCCTACTCTTACTGTCAGATTGGGATGAGAATGATGAAAAAGGGTCAGCCATCCATTTTTAGTGCACTTTGCATGAACAGAGCTCTCGCAGTCTAAAATCCATCAACAAACTGATGGGCTGTATCGAGGCCAGTTAAGACCTTTTCTTTTGCATGACAATAATAATTTGTCATTTAAGTTGAGTAAGTGTGGTATACTGTCACACCAAAGTTTCACCTTCAACTTTTGAGTCGGGTGCAAGGGAATTAACAGTGAATGAAATCAATTATATGCCCTAAACATTATTAACATGCATGTCATTGTGTGTGTTTTGCTCATCTTCAAGACAGCCAGTATGAAAGGCACCACAGCAAATAATAAACCTGGATATGAGCCCACAAACAGGAGCACCAACAATATGATTCCAACCAGCAACTTTTTGAAAAGATCCTGGAAAACGTCTCCGTGCAGCCACAAAATCAAACACATCACACCTCCACTGTAGATTTAATCAAAGTAAATAGAGCTCAAATGTGGGTGCTGTCTTCAGCTCACCACAACATCATCTACCTACATTACTGCTGATTCTTTTCCAACCCATACCATAGTCCTTTTGATTTCAGAATGTGTTGTTGTTACACTGCAGACCACTGTGGCTCCACTTTACCGTAGTGTGTATATAATGTATGAAAGTTAATGTGGGACCTGGCGAAGTGCCTGGTTATACAGTTAAAATTGTAGATTGATTTGATATGCAGAAACATGTGCACTATGATGCTGAAGCATAATATTTCACTGTCAAACACATTTTGCAAGAAGCTACCAAATTCACATCATCCTTTACACAGTTCCTATGTTTGTTCATACTGTTTGCTTCCTGATTGGATTTTCAAAGAATGTGAAATATTTGTGATTGCTATGGTTTAAAATATGGAACAACATCAGCACGGTCCCTTCTATTGCATCTTTATTGAAATGCCTTCTTAATGTTTTTACATAATTAGCTGTTTTCAGATTTTGTTTAAAATATTTTCTCTATGCTTGTTGCAGACATATTTTCTGTCCCTTTTAAATTGAATTTAAAATTTCTATGTTTTTAAGGAAACGACTGAACTGTAGTTAAACGTTAAAGTAACATTAGCTTAGCTTAAGCACTTTCAGGGGCAGCTTTTCTATTGCTCAACACCAACTAGTCTGGTGTTGAGCAATCACAAGCTAAGTTAACTATATTTTCAGTACAAACCTGTTTTCCAGTTTGAAAAATATTCAATAATTCAATTCAATTCAATTCAATTCAATTAGTTGTAAAAGAAGATTAGAAGCCCTTGTATATCTAATGTATATATAATAGCACCACCACTTAATTTTATTCATTAACATTTGCTCTCATAGTGTAGGATTTTCTTTGCAGTATCAGTTTCACATGGGTTGCAGTAACAAAACCCTGAAAGGTCAGGATATCCGTAGCAATAGCGATTGAAAATTGAGTACAATCAACAAGGGAGTCTGACAATACAGTCTTGATGCTCAGCGTATTTTGAATCAGTGTTTTTTTTAGTGTGTGTGAGTAGTAGCTTTATTGCAAGCCTACTCATAAAATACAAAGGTCCAGCTGCCCTTTTATGTCAGGTCAGGTATTGTTGAGAGGTGATTTGGCTTCACAGTGGCCCTCTCCCTTCCAAAGCTGCAGAGCTTTGCTTTATCTGTGGATCAGACGCTGCTTGGCCAAGCCTTTGTACTGCCTGGCCTTTTATCTGAAAGAGAAAGCAGATTTGGCCCCTGTCGCTCTCTCCCCCTCTGTCAGTCTGTCTGTCCGCCTGTCAGTCAGTCTCATGCGTTCATTTTTCCATCCGTCTGTGTATCTGTCCGTCACTTCTTCCTCTCTTTCTCTCTCTCTCTCTCTCTCTCTCTCTCCTGTTTGTCTTTATCTCTCCTCTGTCATTCATTTCCTCATCCCTCACTTTGCATTCCTCATCCTGTCCTCTGCCACCCTTCTCTCTCTCTCCACACACACACACACACACAGACACACACATACAAGTCCAGCACATCTGCTTAGTTAGTGATGTGTGTGAATGTGTGAAGCTGATGGCAGGGAGAAATGTCTTGTGTGATCTGGCCACCGCCACTTTCACTCTCCCTCCTGCTGAGTGATCTGTAATTACTTCTATCCAGCCAAACACACACTCACACATCCACACACGCACATCTCCCCCGCACACATACTGTACAGTATAAACCCACATGAGCCTCATTCATTGGGCCAGCGACCACGCAGCCTGATCTTCAATTCATATTCATTAAGCACAAAATATTATAGAAATAAGCTTGGTAATAGCAATCATCTTTCAATTATCTGGGATTCGTTAGCCTTGTGACAAGACACAGAAAAGGGAAAATCATGAATATCAAATGGGACCAATTTAACCAAATGATCATGGACTAAATCACAATTTCATGAATGAATAATATTAATTAAACAGAAGCAGGCATATGAATCATTCCAGTACGAAAGCTGACGGAGGGTTTTTTGCATGACAAAGAGCTGATCAAACATCTTTCTGTGATATCTGCCTATCAAGAGAGCGCACATGGTCTGTGTCTGGTGCACCGCTGGAGAGGAATGTTTAAAATGATGCTGAATGAAAAATTTTCTCTTTCTTCTCATCTCATTTCCCTCTTTTTCTTTCTTCACCACTTTTATCAACCTTATACCTGCTCTTTACATTCAACTTCTCGTACTTTCCATTGCACCCTCTGGTCTCTCTTCTTCTTTGCCTTTTCCATACCCCCGCATCTTCCTCCTGTCATCCCAATTTCTTTCCGACCATCGCCGATTTCTCCGCCACCATCAGCATCGGACATGGCTTCTGATCAAGGCCAGGTGTTGGTCATCGTCACAGCAGCGGTTGGTGGCTTTACCCTCCTCGTCATCCTCACCCTCTTCCTCCTCATCACTGGAAGGTAAGATGACTTCACTTCCATTTGCGCACCATGAATATTTCACTGTATGGTTTGAACTGATCTACCATCTTGCCAATATATTAAGCTGAAACTTAACTTTAAAAATCAGCCAGTCAGTGATGCCAACTGTGGGTTGAGTTTTTCTGTGATGTCCCATGATGGCCTAAAATGAGGCTTCTACATCCTGACAAGAACAGAGAGAAATACTGAACACTGGCAGCTCGATTAAAAAAAAAAAAAAAATGTTCCAACCTCAGTCAGTTTTATTCATTTCACACTTTGACAGACTTTGCTGTGTTTTTTACTCATGATAAATAAATTATACAAATATCTGAGTGACACCCCATGTGTCATTTTTGAGGGAATGGACAAATAATGACCTTATAATGACCTTTTCTCATTTTATTTGAAGGACCACTATAATACATCCAGCCATACATTTTTAAATATATGGCTGATTAGACCTCTCCAGCACAGCGTGGGTATACATAGCAGTTTTCTTTCACTCGCTCTCTTAGTTGCACCTGTCAGGGCAGAGCAATTTCTAAGTCTTAGCAGTCTGAGGTGTTTTGTTAACCTAAGGTAATTTTCTGTCTTAGCTCAGCCACCTTTAACCAGGGAAGAGGTCTAATCAGCCAGAATAACTCCATAACCTTTGTGGGTGTGCTGGGCCTTAATTGGTCTGAATGTCCCCGAGATGTCAGGGAAGTTCAACTAAATACACTTTGTGTGAATAAGACCAACTCAAAATATGGATAGAACGAGACTCAGGCGACATAGTTATAAAAATGAGGAGCATTTCACTTCTTGTGAAAGTCAACTTTGACCAACTTCAGAAGCAAATAACTTCTTCTCCTTGGCTTGCTCCACTTGCCTCAAATGATCTGTCGCCTCTACACCTGTGTTTTTCCTGCTGAGTCAATCGTTACAGATATTTCAGTGAAAAAAAGCCATTTTGTTTGGTGCAACAACTTCATGTTCCTTCCAAAAACTCCTCCAACCTAGATGAGTATATACTGTAGGTTGCTTGCCCCTAACCTCGGATACGACCCAAAAGGGAGACAGGCATACCAGACCTTCATTAGGCACAAAAACTATTTGGTTAGGTTTAAAAAAAAGATTGTACTTTGGGTTAATATAAGTACTTGCTTAAGGTTAGAGGACCTTCGTTGTTACAATAACAAAAATCTGGTTAAGGTTGTGGTAAGGTCATGGATGAAAGAAATACTGTTGATTATCATTTTCACACAACAACCAGCGCTCTCCTGTGTGAAACTGCTGCTTTTGTCACCCCAACCTCCTCCTAAGATGGTCACTCTTTATTTATATTTATCATCTGACTTCCTCCTTTTGCTACCACCATAATTACTACGGCTGCTAGAGGTCGCCTAATAATAACACGTAACTGTGGGTCATACTAGGGGGCTTGTTTTTTTTCCACGAGGACAGTCTCATTCCTTCCTGCATCGACCGTATAAGCTTCATACTCCTTGGCTGGGTGTTCATTATTTCCTCTAGGGCATTGGTACAAACCCTTCCACTACAGAAGACTCTATTACATTTTGCTTCAACAATTGCCTTTGGACTCAGGACATCATTAATAGCTAGAGATGGGAAGTGTGTTGAGGAAATGTAGCCTGGTATGAGGTTTGCACAGGTGTCATATTTGGATCTCTGAACTCATAGAAATGTTGAGAGCATAAATGAGTGTGTATGAAAGTTTTAGTGTTACATTTAGACTCAAAATAATTCATCATTTTACCCTGAACAAGCCACAAGTACACAGACACAATGTTTATGTATAATGGAGGAGGTGGACACACATTAACAGAAATATTCAGAGACTCAAAGCAAGATAGATTAGCATAAATTGAAAGATTCAAAGCAAGAGTCTGCCCTGACACTGAAGACACACACTCAAAACACATGCCCACATAGACCCGCGCGCACACACACAAGCACACACACACACACACAGCCTGTCTGTTTTTGTGTTCCTAGATGTGTGTGTAGGTGTTTGACTCTTCAAGAAAGAAATCAACAACATGGGGGCAAGAAAGAGATTAGACTTTGCTTTAGAAGTGTGCAGTTTGAAAACTAAATAATTTGACATTTCACCATGAAGATACTGAATAGAAACTAAATGGAGTTGCTCACAAGCACAAACAGAAATATTCAGCACCACAAATCCATGGACTGTTTCACAGAATACACATCCTGTTCTTTTAGCAATTTACAATGTCATGTTAAAATGTAGAGAATAACGCAACTATCATCACTATGATAACCTGTTCAGACAATAATATAAATGTATGGTTGAATTCAGCAACAGAATGGACTCTGCGCACAGTGCTGATGCTTCAGGTTTTTCTCTTTTGGTGACATATATGGTAAAACACAATATTTTGAAAATATGTTCATAGTATGTGTCCTTTCATCCCTAGATCTTTGAAAGGACATTTTGAAAATTGTATTTGGGTTCATAGAATCATTTGTCATTTTGGCAAGTACCAAAGGTAGAAAACACACTCAAGAGGTATAGCCTTGTTAAAGATGAAGTGGGAGACAAGCTCCATAGCTGCGTGCGATAGTCTGAAAACTCCAGTCAGTCAAGCCCAGACACTTTCAATATCTCTTTTTCAGATGCTAACATTCTTAATCTTAATATTTTATACACTCTAATACAAGTAAGACTCACATTATTGTGATTATTACAGACAGCACAGTGTCTGTGGTAGAAATATCTTTCATTCAATGTTTTCTCAGTCACATCAACACAGTTGAAGGACACATTTTGCATTTTGTTTCTCCATCAGCTCCACGAGGAAGTGGACACATTATTATCAAACAGTCAAGCCAGTGTGAAGCAGAGTTTGCCCGTCGTGTTGGGTGCACTCCACATATTAGCAGTCAACTGAGATCTTTATGCATTTGAGGGAGTATTGCAGATATGATTAGTGTGCTTGATTGCACATTCTGCTGAGTTTACTAGGGTACATGTGATTTGCAAAGGTCAGATTTGCATAAAAATTCTCTCTCTCTCTCTCTCTCTCTCTCTCTCTCTCTCTCTCTCTCTCTCTCTCTGAAAACATGTGCAAACATTGCAGGTGTATTTAAAAGCAATGATCTTTATTTGACAGAAATAATGCATGTCAGAGAGTGTGATGATAGATTATAGAAAAGATTGTGATAAAGCGAACACCAAAACTGACTGATATCCTAAAAATATGGATCCATTTGCCATTTGCTAGAGAACAAACCTAAAAATGAAGAAGAATGAGGCTCAACAAAACATATAGGAAGACATGTCAATCAAGCCTGGTTTGGACACATCCTTACAGTCCTGATATAACAAAATGAATGAAAACGTGTGTTGGGTTTACAGTTTCTTTGCTTGTTTTTTTCAGATTAGGTGAAAACCAGACACTGTATGTGAACACTCAATATTTACAACAACTAGGTAACATGATGAAACTCCATGTTTGAATGGGACTTGACACCTAGAGGAAGACTTGCCCTTAGCAGAAGAGTGGTCTAAAAGCTTGTGTGGAACTAAAGCTGTTTACATACCGCTGAGAGCTTTGGGTTAGGGTTTGATACGCAGTTTTAAATTATGTTGTTTTAAGTTTAATCTAAAGGACTATGGAATGAGTAGCCTTCAGTAATGGATGCATGCTGGTACACTTGATATTTATTGACTGTTATTTCCTAAAGCCCTGGTTATATTTACATACATTTAACGTGATGTCATAGGATTACGATTAAATAGCTTTTTGCGAGTCATTTAGCGCCATGCAGTCCCTTGTGTCATTTAACACAATTTTGGCTGGGATTAGGGAAAGTGTAAGGGGGAGTTTTAGAGGTTAGTCAGTAGAGAAATGCAAAAAAAAAATGCATTGTGATAACACACAAAATGGCTTAAGGTAATTGTTGTGTTATCCATATGCCATTTGGTGAGACAAGATTACACAGCAAAATAAATAGAGCTTTTTCATGACATACTACACAGTAGGACTGACTAGCGCTCGTTCCCAGCTGGTTAGCATGTTAGCTCTTAGTTCACCCACTAACCCTACGAGTGTTCCCTATGTCTGCAAGCTTCTATCACCTCTGTGTCTTATGTAGTAAAAATCAGTGGATCACCTGGTTTCAGCAAGAGTGACAACACAACAGATATATTTGAATTAATAAGAAATTATAAAAGTTTGTCACAAGTGGATTTCAACTGTGGCCTAAGCAAAAAAATTTTTTTAAATGTTACATTCAGCATTTCAACATAATCATTTTCTTTATTAACTTTATGCAGTCACTGGTTTATCCCCATCCCCATCCCCACTAGAATAAGAATGATACAATCCTAGGTGCTGGTTGCAGAAAGCGCAAATTAAATGAACACAGCACTAACTTGCATTTTCATAAATGTGACCCCCCGTTCCTCTGGTGGCAACATTTAGCGCCCGTTAGAGAAACTGCAGCTTAAAACTTGCATTTTCATTTCAGATATCAACTCTGCTGGTTGCCATGGAATTTCATTTTCACAACTGACCTGCACAGATCACTGATGTATCAGACGAGGTGCACCATTTCACAGTGAAAGCCTTTATTGTTGGCAAGATTGTTATGTCGAAGGAATTTTAAGTCCATCAACTTTACAAAAAAGGAAAAAAAAAAAAAAAACTGGCAGCTGTAGTTTTATAGCAGGGATTTATGATGTGATCTCAGTATGTGTAGGAGGGTCTCTGTTCCTAATTTTTTTATTAAAAACTCATACACACACCAGGTGCAAGAGCTAAAGCAAGCTCTTCAGTCTTTTTGCGTGCTAGCACGAGAGGGACCGTTTTCTACCTGAATCAAGCTAAAAGCAGTCGTAGCAGTAGTTGGAGTGTTTTTTGACTTTATCAAAGTCTGTCATATCTGCAATCCCTCTGCCCTGTGTGGGAGGGACTTTCACTCTCTTTCAGTTTGAAAAAGCTGCAAATGTACTTGAGCTGCCGGAGAAA